TTTCTAGCGTTAACTGAACTTCCAAAGCAGAGCTACTAGATCACTTAAATTACACAATTGAAAGCATATGTGTATTGTTTGTGTATTTACACACAAGCACGCATATATGTTCAAATAATTAAAAAAAAAAAAGTTCATTTACCTGTTACTACCACACACCAAATCCGGTTGTTGGTACTTCTTGGCTTGTGTAGCCACTAGGTAACAAAAGCTCAACACTGCGCCCAGCATCCTGGAGCACTTCTGTTGTCTTTTGTACATGTTTTGAAGTTTGTACGTGCTGCTTTGTCACTTCAAAGACCCGGCTCTCAGAGCCGTTTTGTTCGTTTGGGCATTCGTTTATATACAGTTCTCTTGAAGTCCCACCATCCATCCATCCATTTTGCTCCGCTTATTCGGGGCCGGGTCGCAGGGGCAGCAGCCCAAGCGGAGAAGCCTAGACCTCCCTGTCCCCAGCCACCCCTCCAGCTTATCGGGGGAACTCCAAGGCGTTCCCAGGCCAGCCAAGAGACTCTCCAGCGTGTCCCGGTGGGACATGCCCGGAAAACTTCGCCCAGGGGGCATCCTTGTCAGATACCCGAACCACCTCAACTGGCTCCTTTCGATGTGGAGGAGCAGCAGTAGCTCTACTCTGAGCCCCTCCAGAATGGCCGAACTTCTCACCCTAACTCTAAGGGAGAGGCCAGCCACCCTTCGGAGGAAGCTCATTTCCGCCGCTTGTATCCGCGATCTCGTTCTTTCGGTCACTACCCACAGCTCGTGGCCATAGGTGAGGGTAGGGACTAGGGATGGGTATCGTTTAGGTTTTATCCGATACCGGTGCCAAATCGGTATTTTTGAAACAGTGCCGGTGCTTAAACGGTGCTTAAAGAATGGAAAACACAAACTTTGTCCAAGAACCTCTCATGTTCAGCTGTTTTGTTTTTTTTTTGTAAAAAGATAACAATGTTAGCCTTTTCTGCAGCTATGGGGCATATATGGTATCACTCTTGGCTGGAAGCAGTGCTTAAACAATGAAAAAAAAAACCACAAACTTTGTCCAAAAACCTCTCATGTTCAGCTGTTTTCCACTTTTTCTTTGGTCATTTTAGCCTTTTTGTCCAGGGTGAAGGGAGCATCTGCCATCAAACAAGAGGACAGCTGCATGTAGCTATGATGATGTTTGCTAGTTCACCTTACATGCATTAATGTAATAACGTGGTTAGCCTACTCAACGTAAATTACACACGAACAACATTTAGCTACTCACACAGAGAAGAACGGCTGCTGCTGCATCATCATCCGTCATCATTTCTGCTACACTGGCAGGGCTAGGGGCCAGGACTCTATTCTTCGGGTTTTTGGGGGATGTTGCTCCGGGTCCGATAACTGGCAACCCACCCAACGTGCACAGTGTGAGGTCTCTCAGCAAGCTATCAAATACGGCGCATTTCTGGGCTTTTAAAAAAAACGCTATGCGTCGCCAGGTGTTTCATCAGTTTCGAGGTGTTACCTCCTTTGACAGTATCACAGTATCAGCTTAAAGCACTTGTTGCTGCTGAGTTTGCATATTTTGCTGTGAAGTACAACCAGACCTTTGACCGCTTCACCTTGGGCATTTTAATCTGTAGCTCTGCTCTAACTGAACGTACGTACCTGGCCCCGCCTACTATCCTGGGAAACGTAAAATGATTGGCTAGAAGTGTATCACAGCTCAGGGGGAAAAAAGCACCAAAATAAAGCACCGAAATGTGCGCTGCTTTTCGGTCTGGTTACTACCGTTTATGTCAGAACCGGTGCCATCATGGCACCGGACACCGGTACCCATCCCTAGTAGGGACGTAGATCGACCGGTAAATTGAGAACTTCGCTTTTACACTCAGCTCCCTCTTCACCACGACGGACCGGTGCAGCGTCCGCATCACTGCCGCTGCAGCACCAATCCGTCTGTCGATCTCCGGCTCCCTTCTCCCATCACTCGCGAACAAGACCCCGAGATACTTGAACTCCTCCACTTGGGGATGAGTTTAAAATCATATGCACAAATTTAGGAAACAAAGTTATTTGCAGCCATTTACCTTTTACCCTTTTTTAACTAACCATTTCAAACTATTTACAGAACAATCAGCTGTTCTACATTCAATAAGATGCCACACAAATTATTTGTGCCACTTCAAAAAAATAATTTCTGTCCAGTATAAAGGAGAACATCACAGCCTGATGCCTGCAGGTCTGACTGCAGCAGGTGTATCACTCCTGATTCTACCTGGAGACAGCAGTCACCTCATTGTTCTGACACACAACACAAAACTATCCACAACACATTAACTACACAAGACCAACTACACACTACAAACACGCTAAACCTCACAAATCTCTCACACCTCAAAACTCACTCTCTCTTTTTCTGCTGTATTTCTTTCTCTCGCCGTCACTTCCAAAACTTGCCCCTTTTCCTAAACAACCAGATATCATGTTGCCATATCATTTTTTGATTGGTTGACATGGTGCATTTTTCCACCAAAACGAACGGACTATTTTTTTTGTTTTTTGGTCATAAGCAGAGTGCTTGCTAGCGCTGTCCTTAGACAGTAAACATGACGAAACTATTAAGGAAAAAACATGGGTATATATTGTTTATTGTTGTGATATTTTGATACCACGGTAGCATTTACAGGATATTGCTTTGTAGTGAAAACTGTTACTCAATAAGGCCCATTTACTAGTTGTTTTTCTCTTTCTCTCTGACCCAAGAATTGATGTGTAAGAATCACAGGCTGGTACCCCAAGGTCGAAAATACCACAGAGACAAGACGACTTCCTTACTCCCATCCTCCCTCCCTTATCTTTTAGAAAAGAGCTTGTTAAAAAGCCAGGTGGTTTGTTTCAGAATTCACTAATGAAAGAACTCTGTATTCTATGTCTAGGAGTGTATTTTGCTGATGATCATAAATTGTAGCTGAACTGATAAACTACACAAAGGATACTTCTCTGCTCACAAGGCAGGAAGACGTTTCCTTATTTGGTCTGTACCGGTTTGAACTGGGAAAGCTGACACACGAACCTTTTTCCTCTATATAAGCTGTTGTATGATAAATAAACCTCTGAGTCAGTTTGGAATGACACCTAGAACGGTCTCCGTGTCTTCTTGTTCTTCTGAACTGCTCCCGGTACTCCGGCCGGTACCGTGATTGCCCGTTGATCATGCATGAGAATATTTTAATTTTGTTATATGTTAAAGGATGAACTCTGCTTATTGGTGCCCACGCTTTAGGAGGAAACTCGATCTATGACAGAGATTTCCTTCATTTATCATGACTCTGGTTTTACGTGGCCTATCAACACAATTTAAAAACTGGTATCTATCACCTTGTTGCTTTGTCATCTTAAAGTGATCGTGTGATTGGCTTACCACGACTACTTTATTCTTCCTCAGTCAAACAGCAGCGGTGACAGGGGCAAGGGCTCTGGCAAATCCAGAGAGGGGAAGACAGGAAAAAACACTCTCTCCTCTTCGGTCACACACTGCTCGCTGCCAGCCAATCTCCAATCACTCACAATAAGAATCTTCTCAGGAAACACAGTGACAGATCCAGGAAATCTATGTAGAGGATACACATTAGCACAAAGGCACAGAACCAGCAAGAGCTATCAACTATATTTTGAGTCACACGACGATCCAGCGATGAGTAGCTGCCATCCTCTGGTTTAAACGTTGACAGCGATAATGAGGCACAGGTGTTTCCTCTTCACAGGTGCGTGGGCCGAGGACGTGAACCTGCAACGAGTTCCACCCAGGCGAGAGAGGGGGAGAGAGAGAGAAACAAAAACACTACTGATCAGCTGCCTGCTGATTCACCAGGGCGTGACTGAAGAAATCTGCGAAAATTTTACCTGATGGTTTTCCTTGAATTGACACATTTATGGAAAACATTGAGAATTACGTGAAGTAAAGTAAGGCTAATATTGTCAGGGAGAATGAGGAGTAGAGGGCTGCCTCTTTATTTACACTTTCACTAGTTTCCTGTAGTGACTCCTTCCAGACACTTCACTCTCAGTAGTCAGATCATCAGCAGAGTATGCACAGCCCAGGCTCTCTTTCCTGAGCAGATAGGCTTCATGTCAAGAAACAACTATATGTTGGTGCTGAATCAAATCAGTCAGTTGGGCAGTACTTTTAGCTTGACAATGCTGTCATGGTCCTGGATTGCTGACCCAGTGTTTTGTGTTTTTTGGTCCTGTCAGTTTTTTATTATTAAAGATCATCAGGATGATTCTTAGGTTCTTTATTATTACGTTTTTCAACTGTGTCTCCTGGGTGTCTCTATAGTCACCTTTTTATGTAATATATTGTCTCAGTCACCCATTGCACTTTGTCGAGTTGTCTCTTGTTGTCTATGATCTTGTTCTCATGTGTCTTGGATTCTTTGGATTTCTGAGCTCTATTTCTATACTGTTTGTACAGCATTTTGAAACCTTGGGGCGACCGTGGCTCAGGGGTCCTTGGGCAAGACACTTCACCCAAGGACACATTCAGTCTCAGGGCAGACTGACTGAAGCTTGCCTCCACCAGTGTGTGAATGTGAGAGTGAATGATAGTGGAATTATACAGCGCTTTGGGTGCCTTGAAAAGTGCTATATAAATAAATGCAACCCATTACCTTAGCATGTGAGCAAAAAAAACCAAACATTACTGTATGAATGATGAATTATTGGAAGTCAAAGCTCTACAGCAGACATGTGGGAAATTGATTAACTTTACAGCTCATCACTGTATAGTTAAAGAACTGAAAAATGAAAGGATGCATTTGCAACGGTGTAATATAATCCATGTATTTCATGTACCAAGGTACCCACACTCAGTCATAGACACAAACAGGACCACATACGCACTACGGTGAAGACAGTTACACAGACATGAGGCACAGAAGCTGCTTTGTGCATTCAAAAGAAGGACACGTCACTATTTGTTACATGTCCCCACATCCATGCTTTTAGCAGACAGTACGGCAACAGGATAATAACTTTTTAAATGTTTTATTACAAAACAACGTGACAAAACAATACACTTTATGTTAAAATCCACACTCACAACATGAGGTGATGGTGTCTTTGAGTCTATAAGGTCCATTCCTAGAGACTGAAATGAATTTCATATCCTTTGAACGACTTCTGTCTCAGTGATGGTGAATCTGAGCAGTGACAGAAAGCAGCATTCAGTTTCTCGCGTCTTCGCTGCAACTACACTTTTCCACAGTGACACAAGTCTGACGGACCTTGAACCTATCAGCCTCTGCACATCTTCGGCAGAGCAGAAAGGGACAGCCCCGTCACAGTCACTGCAGTCCATGTGAAGGCTCCTCAGTGAATTTATGGTTCTAAATCTCTGTCAGTGACGTTTCTCTGTTTGAGGCCCAGGTCTGACCGGGCAGTCTATGGCTCAGCAGTCCTTTGGTGCCTTTGAACCCATCGAGTTTTGAGATTCAAGTGGTGTGTGTGAGAAAGAGAAGCACAGACAGCAAGAGAAAGAGAGACAGGCGGTGAGAGAGAAGTGCACTTTTCCTTTCCAGGAGAAGCAAATGAGAGCAAACAACAACAGGGGTTAAGGAGAAAGACAATATGGCTTTTCCATGTCTACAGATGTAGACGTTTCATCTTTGATTCTTTGTAATATTAGAATTATGTAATCGCTCAGTTTCAAGTCCATTATCACCTGTTCACACTGCTCATATTTACATTTATATGTACATCGGCAACAGCTCTCATCCTGAGTTACTCATTATAAGAAGTCTATACCAACACTGTCATATGATTTCTGTCCTGCAGCTCTCTCTGTGCATAACAGGTCTCTCTCACATGCTTGGACATAAAGTTATATTTCTCATAAATCTCTGAAGTCTCTCTCACGTCACAGCTCGTATTCAAAGGCATTTGGCAGTAGCCACTTTGCACTGATTCCAGTAGTTTTCAGGTTTTTTGGAGGATGCAAAATGGTATCGAACATTTTCATATCGAACTTTCTTCACACCTAGCCAGCGGTGCTGGTGATTTAAACATGGTAAAGCTGGAGATCTCCTCTTCTAGTCTTTTCATTCCTTCCCCCAACCCATCCCTCAGACCCTCCTCCACCTCTTCCCCCTCCCCTGACTCTGTCTCTCCCCCCTCAGACCTCACTCTCTCCCGCTCCCCCGTCCTTCTGTCCAGCATATCTGGTGATAGAAATTCAGGGCCAAGCCTCCTCCCGCTGCCGCTCGTGTTGCAGTTGGCGTACAGAGAATTCCCATGGCCGTTGCTGGAGTTGCTGCTTATCAGAGTGTCGCTGTAACTGTGCCCACCGTTTCCATGGTTGCTAAGGAGCGTGGTTGTTGTGGTCGAAGTCGCCGTCCCGTTTCGTTTTTCCGCCATCCGGAATCCATCCGAGAAAAGGCTGGAGCTGCTGGGAGATTGAGGAGTGGCCGAGGAACCCAGCAAGTCCCGCCCCTTTCCCGATGACAACGAATTATCTGGCAGGTTGCGGGCAATCCCACACCGCCGTTTCACAAAGAAGATAAGGACGGCGACAAAACTTAAAACAAGTAAGATGGCAAATATGTACAAGGCCAGGATATGACGACCTTCGGATGTTGATACTTTTTCGACACTGGGAGCTTCTAGTGTCAGATAATAGGCTGCTCTGCGGCAAGGGGTGGGGTCTCTGACTGCAGGGCCCCCCTCCTAGATGAGAGAAATAGCACAGACAAAAAAAAGTCCTTATTTTCAAAAAAAAAAAGCAAAAACAACAAAAAATGACAAAAGGAAAGCAAACACAGGCCTGCCTCGTAGCTTCATACCTGGCACGTGCAGACATAGTTTCCCAGATTGTCGTCAGTGACAACCACCTCCAGGTCAGAGTTGTGCTGCCTGGTGTGTCTGTGGGGAGGATACTCCCAGCTACAGGGCCGAGGGGACAGCTGGACGCACGACAACAAGAGGCGCAGGCCCCGGAACACTTGCAGCACTTGGGGCGACGGATTGCAGCGACCTAGAGCGGAGGGCGAGAACGGAGACGGCGAATAGCTGATTAACAACAGCAGAGGCATTTTCACTCACAATCACACTGGACAGCGACGATCACGTTATCTTAAATGAAAGTATAAACTTACCTTCTGCTACATTACACTTTTTTAAGGCAGCGTCTACCACATCACCGGGACCGGGCCTGCACACAAGGGCAAAATTATAACATATTATATGTTATAAACGCTTCTTACATATAGCTCAATTTTCTGTATTACATTTCCATTTTTTTTTCCTTAGGAAAACATTGGTACACGAAAGTATTGCTGGAATAAAAATGGGTCACTCTGGTATTTTATAACCTTATACAGCTGCTGCCTGCCTTTCATTTCCATTTTTCTGGAAAATTTCCAATTCATTGTGATATTCCTGTAGTACTCACTCTTCTGTTGTTTGCTTGCAGGCTTCCTCCTTTGTGCTCCACACACAGCCCAGTCCTCTGGCTCTGCCGCACACCTCACAGCTGCGATACAGAGCGCAGCCTTCAGCTTGGACACGAGCCAGAGACAGAGGGCTGCCCACCAGAGCGTGGCCCTGGAAACACGGAGAACAGTTGCAGAATCGCTGAGAAATGGAACGAAGCACGGCTGTGCTTATAGTATGTGTATGTACACGCACGTGCGCTCTACCTTGTGCAGTAATATATTGTTAACAGGTTCCTGTGATGTGAACAGAGGAGTCTCCTGCAGTAAGGTGACATTCTGGCCCACTACTGCCACCTGGTGGAGCTCCCCACGGTCTGCAACACATTTTTTTATTTATTTTTATTTATTTAATTATTTCACATTCGTGTCACAACTTCTAATACAACTTGTGAAAGTTTAGGTTTTTATCAATTTTGCATTGACTTCAGTATTTAATTTCTAAGGACCATTATCTTTATCTGTATCTTAGTTCAGCTTTAGGGAGCTGCCTACATTAACTACAATTTTAAACGCACTACAATTTCTATATCCTCCTGTCGTCTCTATTGTCTGATCTCTCACCTGTTCCTAGATACAGCACTGCTGCCCTCCGCTCCTCGCTGCCGTCCTTCAGATTTACAGCCAGTTTGGTGTAACTGATTCCCTTTCGAACCAGCAGGGATGCTGCAGTCACACTGTTCTCCATCAGAGGGTGGTCTCTCACAAATGTCAGCACCTTGTCAGGAAGTTTTAGCGAGGACTCAAAGCCCTCAGCCTTTAATGCACTGTTTAAACACTATTATAAAGAAAGGAAAGGGTGTGTCTTAGTAATTTATGGTAGTAAAGTCAAATAAAATGCATGCATGGTACATTTAAAGTTTGAACTTCCAGAGGGCTTCACAATATTTCATATGTGCCTCCTTTAAAATGTGAAGATATCATGTTTTTAGAAATAACTAAGGTATAAATTTAACCTGGAATTTATTTTCATCTATTATTTTTTAATATATACAGCTGAGAACTCTTGCAAAACCAAATGTTATAAAGTCTATACATCCGCCTCATCAGAGTTCACATTATAAATGCACTGGATGAAGATTTGTGGAACTAAAATCTGAACAGAGGATTGAAAATCAGCCTGTACTTGAATAGATGGCTAAAATTAAGATAAACAGATGGCTGTACTTTTGAACATGTGTGCCACCCTGTTAAATATAACTGTTAAAATAAATATATGTACACCAAACATATTCACTAACTTCTCACAGATTAAAGAAACTGTGTTTTTACTCTGACCTTTTGGGAAAAGGTCAGAGTAAAAGAGTATCTTTGGATCATATCCAGAAGGACACGTTGCTAATAAAAGAGAACAAACCTCATTTAACCTCAGTTTTAAATGCCAAACAGATCAAGTATTTTTGGCAGGATAAAAAAATATTGGACCAAACAAGTTACGCCTTGGATCAAAGAAATGATTCCTAAACATCCACTAGAGAAATTCACATAATGTCTCCTCCTTTCTGAACTTTAAAGAGGATGTTCAGTGTAAACCAAGCATTATTTAGATTGTAAAATCTTCTACAACAACAATAAATCATCCGTGATGTTTGCGGGCTGCCATATTTAGATTCAGAAAAGCAGTGTAAATCATCGAAAATGTGAAAGTGCAGTTTAATACCTGGCCAGGCCGCGGTGAGGGGATCGGCTCATGATTGATCCAGTTGTCGCAGCTTTTCTTCAGCTCTTTAAATGGACCATCCAACACTTTGCTGATGTCAGACAGGCTGAAAACACACACGGCCGACAGGTCTACTTGCTCCCTGTGAGGAAGGGAAAATAAATGTTTAGCATGATGCTAAGTATGGAAGGAAAAAGCTCATTTTTTAAAAAGAGTAAAATCACATCTTTTTTTTGGAAAATAAGCATGAAGCTACAGCAAGTAAACAGCTTCATGCTTATTTATACTTTTTATATCATGCAATTGAAAACTGTGAATGAGCCTGTATTGCACCATATCCACTGATAGATCATCTATATTTGTCTACAACAGAAGACAACAGCAAGAAACTACATTTCTAGTGTTACAATATCTCGTATGACCAAGGCTCTGCTCTGGCCTCTTGGTTACTCTTTGGCTTACCACTGGGAGGTGAACAGTCCATAGAAGTGTGTGCTGCTGGGGTCGCCTGGAATATGTTGCATGGTGAAAACATCAGTTAGGACGTTATAGCGCTGGCCGCTGGGCTTGTCCTCGCATACCAGCTGAGCCTTGAGAAAGGTGGTCCAACGTCGCTGCAGAGTCTTCATCCCTCCCACATCAGACTGAACAGACAGAGTTAATCTTAACAGGGATTCAATCATATATAGGGATCAATGATTCAGTCAAGACAGTGGGTTACCTTGCAGACCCGGGCCACCCTGGGTACTTTGACTTTGGTGTAGAAGTCATATTCTTTGGCCACCTCGTTAAAGAAGAAGTAGATTTTGTCATCGTCTCCTGTCGGGTTTCCTGCGGACTGCTCTATGAAAGCTGAGCTGACAAATTCTGGGTCTGAGAGAAAAAACACCCGCAGACACACAGTTCTAATTATCCTTGTGGGAAAGTGTGGGGTCAGCATGTGTGACTGTGGGCAAATGTGTCTCTTACCGCTGAGCCAGTTGATGGATCGTTCAGTTCGGATGCGCTCCTGCTCAGGGCCCGTTGCCCGGGAGATGTCGAAGAGTGTTCCCAGGAAGTTGCTGGTAGCTGCTGTGTAAAGGAGACCATCTAAAAGGCAAAAAAATGAGAGAAAGGACAACGTTTATTTTATATAAAGATATCAAGAGAGCTTAAAAACTCTTGTTTAAAATTTTCATTTTGACCAGGAAACTTAATCAGTCAATCACACACAGTGGTACTTACCTGCCATAATAGCTGTGTAATGCTGACTAGGCTCAAAAGGACACTTTCCCTTCCCTGACTCCATCCTCACCACTCCATCAACTTCTTCCAGAGTAAATGTAGTGGCATTCTGCAGAGAAGAGAAACAAAGGACTTATATTTCCTAATTAATTACAGGCTTTTCTGTCTGATCTCGCACAGATTGCTTATTGGCAACTTACACTGCTTCATTCATAATTCATTCATTATGAACTCCTAAAAATAGTTACTGTGAGAAGGTGTTGCTGAAGCCTGGAAAAGTCTTTAGACCTCACTGCAGGTGGTGTATAAACGCATTATGGGTACAAGTGTGGGAGATCCATCTGCACTCATTAATGCTGCATGTGCAAACTCAAACCCATTATGTAACCATATTGTGGCTCGCCTGTCTGTATGTCTGTCTGTTTGAGCGGGGTCAGAGGTCATCATCATGCATCAGTCGCTAAACTACAAGCGCATGGACGCACTCACCAAGAAGGCACACTGAGGGTCGAAAGCATAGGTGCCGCACACATAGATGCGACCATCTCCCAGGAACTCCAACAGTCGGATGTAGTTCCTGCAGTCGCCCTGCAGGGGGAGACAAACAGTAAAAAATAAAGGCAACATAGAAGGCAAGATACTGTATCCATTTTAAGCTCGGTTTAACAATCAGGACATACAGCAAATATGTTCATAATTACACATGTTTAATAAGAGTTAAATTCACATTGGATTAAGAATGATTTCACTGAGTGAAAAAGGGCAATAGGTATGTTATATGATAAAATACTCTTGGTCTACACTGATATATAAATAAGTTTCGTTATAAACATTAACTTTCTGCCTTTTTTTATTCTTCTTGTTGCTGAACACCAAATGATTAATGATTTTCAAAAATGTTTTGAATTTTGAGACAAAAAGGTGTTTTCTTCATGAGCCGTTTTAAAGAGTTTAAAGGGTAAAGAGTTCAGTTTTGAACAACAAAACAGGAAATTGGAGATGCCTCGCTGCTGGAGGTGACACCTGAGATTCCCACTGCTATCAGCCGAGGCCTCACACACACACACACACACACACACACACACACACACAGGCATGAAACTTGAGATCATCCACTTTCATGCATGACACCAGATTACACATATATTTGAGCACACTTTATTTTTCTTTCCTTATTGTCACACATCAGAAGCTGTTATGGAAAAACACACTCACTGTCCCATGCCAGTTACCAAGAAACCATGACGTAAGCAATTTCTACTAAGCTCTGTGTGTGTGTGTGTGTGTGTGTGTGTGTGTGTGTGTGTGTGTGTGTGTGTGTGTGTGTGTGTGTGTGTGTGTGTGTGTGTGTGTGTGTGCCATCCTGGATGAGCTCCAGGCCTGATTCACCTCCCCAGAGACCTGATCCTCTCTGATGCACAGATCGTGTCACTCAAACCAGCCCTCCATGCTGGTACAGCTCCACGTGAGTTGGACAGAGAGCCAAAAAAGAGAGCGAGAGAACAAGAGAAAGACAGAAGTGGAGCTCAGGCTGGTAACAAAGGGATCAGCCTGGGATTAGCTATTTCATTGGCCCCAAATTAACCCCATTCATACTAATAAGCTTCATTCACAATCTGGCATGGGGGTGGCTCGAATGGCTCTATTCTATTCTGTTTGATTTTATTGAATTCTTTTGTACTCTTGATTAAAATGGCCTCCAATTATACATCTTTCATAGTAAAAACTTTAATGACTTTGGTGCGCAACGCAGAAATAAAAAGTCCTGCCACCTAAACATCTAAAAGCTTTTCATGCTTGCTGACATTTACCTGCTCAAAGCAATCTCCCGCTAATTACTGATGTATGTGTGTGAGAGGACATGGTCCAACTTTTTTCTCTTGACCTCATGCTCCGCGCTCACCCTCCATTATCTCTTTCTGTCCAGCACTTTTCTCACTGCTTCTCTTCTGCAGACTTTCTCCTTGCAAGCACTTCCACAACAGTTTTGACAGTGCAGCATATCCAGTGATGCTACTGTAGTACCTGAAGTAAATTAAGTAAATATTGATTGACAGGGGTTGTTTTCGTCTTTCCCTCAAAGCCTCAGCTTAATTTGATTTAATTTGAATTATATAGCACCAGATTGAAACAATAGTCATCTTAAGCCACTCTATATTATAGGGTTATAAACAGTAACCGACTCTCCAACGATCCACTTTGAGCAAGAACTTGGTGACAGTGAGGAGAAAAAAACTCCCTCTGAACCTGAAGATGACACATTAGTGCAGTTTTAGTGTCTTTCAGCTGAATGACAGACAACTAATTATGAGTAAGGACTCGGCAACAGCAGGAAGGAAAAACGTCCTTTTCACAGGAAAGAACCTTCAGCAGAACTTGGCTCAGGAAGAGGAAGCCATGTGTTGTGACATGTTGGGGTGTTGGGGGTTACACCGGAAAAGATTCAAACTTACAAACCAAAAAATCCCAAGAAGCATTTAAGATTTTAGTATCAGTGAAGCAATAACTAGTAAAGTATGATGACTGTATACATGCACACCCACTACTTACTAAAGCTTTGACGTTTTCTTACACCTTATGATGAATGCGATGGCAGAATTAAACTCAAGTCAGATCTTTTATCATATATCCACGTCTTTTCCTGTAATCCTGTAGTTAGTAATGTCCTGCTGATAGGAGTAAGCTATTACTAACGTGTCCTTATTTGTCTCTGAGTCTGCAGTTTTCACATGATTCACACACACACACACACACACACGGGCAGGTACTCTCTTGTTGAGTCTATTGTCTTGTCTCTGCAATCTTCATTTATTCTCCCCTGCACTTCCTCTTTCTCTATTGGTTCGACTCCCCTCCTGCGCCCCCTCCCCCACTTTTTTAAACCATCTGACTCACGTATATTCTTGTAATCAATGCCTTTGTAGAAAAAAACAACCCTTTCCTGGCTTTATCAGTCTATCACCTCCTTACAGTAGAGAACAGCAAACTGTGCTGATGATGTTTACGAAAAAACAGGTCAAAACTAATTGCACTTCCTTCTCTTTTGAACCGCTGACCTTCCACTGGCTTTGTTTATCTTTGATTTGAGAGATTTTCTTCTGCTCTGATTCAATTTGGAGCATTATCCAGTCATTTAAGGACATCTTTTGTGTTTTTCACAGGCCGCACACTCCACTATGCCAGCAAAAGATCTGGTTCAGTCTGTTACTTTTTGTTTAAACCAATAAATCAGTCAGGTACAAGAAATGTAGATCAAGTGTGTGTTTCTGTGAGCAGTTTGGTCAGAGCAGAGTAACATGCTGACATGTACAGTGGAGTGGATAGTGCGCTCTAGTTGATCAGTTTCCGTAGTCAGTTACTGGACATCTGTGAGTCCACATCCACTTCATTCTGGGTTTTCATCTCTATCGCTCTCTCTCTTTATATACACACATGCACGCGAGCACACACACACACAGACACACACACCCCTACTGGGGCATTGGCATAAATCCCAGAACTTCCCATCCAATGCCCAACAGCACAGGTTTGTAAAGCACACACAAAGACACACAAATGTACGGCACAGCACAAAATAAAAGCAGAGACATGTGACATCTAAGTCTTTGGTGATATATATATATATATATATATATATATATATATATATATATATATATATATATATATATATATATATATATATATATATATATAAGCACTAACCTCCTCTTTGTCTACATTGGTTTCTCTTAATGAAGACCTAGACTTTGTTGCATGCATCAAAATCTTTACAGCTTCAATCGAGGACCATGCGCTTAGTCATGTGCACCATTCATGTATATATGGGTGGAGTATGAATGGACTCCTATACATATTATTGGTATATCTGATAAATGCATTGTCTCCTCAGTTGCAAAGGCTGGGATTCGTCATTATTAATACCTTCTAGTCCACTGTGTTTATGTTTATCCAGCAATCTTTGTAAAACAGTTAAGCCAGATATTCTCATTTACATAGCAACTCAATTAATATTAGAAACGATCAGCGTAGTTCATGGACATTCAAATGGTTCATTAGATTTTATCTGGGTACGACTGAGCTGAGTTCCTGCAGGAAGTACAAGTTTCAGTGCTGGCTGTGTTTTCCAGTCTGTTCTTGGGTTTCAAACAGCAACAATGGAAGTCAAAGCCACATTTCAGAATAGCAAGATTTAAGACAGTACTACAATTTTGCATTAACACCAGTTTGGCTGAACTACACAAAAACAACACACAAGCAGCACACATGCACTGTTCTCACCTCTGTCTTTCCCTTTCCCTCACATGACTTCCTCTTGTCGTCTGAGACGTCCCAAATAATCTGCAGGAAGAAAGAAGATACACAGACGTAGTAAGTCTGTCAGTTTTCTTATACACAAAGATAATACAGGCTTTGGCAGAGAGCACCAAATACAACACAAAATACATTTAATGCTTTAAATCCACAGCTGTACACAGCTGTCGATCAAAACACGCACTGTTAGAAAGAGTTTCACTTGTTTGCTGGTAGGTAGCATAACAACAGTAACTGCAGTGACTCCAGACACGCTAACACAAGTATGGGACAAGTTTGACTATTATATGGACGTATGCGACGGGGGACGTATATATCCTGATTCTTTTTGATACACCCTGTATTCAGTGGTTTAATGCTGCTGCCTGGTTACTCACACACTGGCACTGCGCCTACCTTTAATGGTTTTTTTTCATTGAGCTTCTTGGTGTCTACAGCCAGTATGGCATCCCTGGCACCCAGGAACAGCATGCCCGATGAGCGGTCCAGCAAGAAGGTGCTGAAGTTTGCCACATCGCCGAAAGTCTCCGAACCCAGGATGGTGTCTGTCAGACAGAGGGGGTGAGAGGGGGTGATATATGTCAATAACAGGATCTAAATGAATTTGGAAAGACACACTCAGAAAACAGGGCTTGGAAAAAAAATACATCTGTTCGCTGCCTCCTTGACCCATGTAACTGTGGAAACAAATGGTTGACAGGATGAGATTAAGCAAACACCATATTCCCAGCAAGAAGTTCTAAAGAGATAAAGGGATGGAGGGATGAGAATAGGAAGGGAGAGATGAGCGTAACCCGTGTTTCACACTGTCCTCTTACACAATCAGAGCAGCAGATTAATTCCTAATCTCTCTGAGACTTTTTCATCGTTCTTTTCACTCGATGTTTACCGCCATTTTTCTGCCCTTCTCTCTCTGCAGTGATATACTGTTTACAACAAAGGCATCTTCCAACTCTTCCGTCCTTCCTTGCAGCTCTCTGGAAACAACCTTCTGTTTGCCTCCTTTTTAAACGCCGTCCTCGTTCAAACGCAAATCCACTGCAGAGGAGGAAATACAACAAACTAAATTATGCATAATCATAATGTATAATACATAACTGATTCATCTTCTACATAATATATGGTGTGTAATATCAGCCATAATTCTCTCCTTAATCTAAAAACTATCAAATGAATCAAATCCCCGAAGCTTTTAAATTGTGTTCCAGCTCTTGCTTGCTCTCTCACTCAGTCACTCTCCCTCCCACTCTTTCAGCTCTAGGACAAAGCGTGTGTGTGTGTGTGTGTGTGTGTGTGTGTGTGTGTGTGTGTGTTTGTGCGTGTGTGCGTACTGATGTCCCAGCTGCTGAGAGGAAAGAGCACAGCTGTGTGCTGAACTTCTTTTGAGTACTGGTGAGCGATTGTGTGTGTTTGTGTGATTTAGCAGTTTTTTTAAAGTCCTCCAATGTCACCCTTTTTTAGCCTCACGAAGAAAGCCAGACACGGCTTCGCCTCCAAAGAAGGCGGGGCCGGCGATTGGTTTCGACGTCCCAATCAAAGACACAGGAACACAAAATAAAGAAGCGCCATTGCACCACAGATGACAAATCAGATGACAGATAAATGCTAATGAGTGCAGCATGTGGTGTTAATTTAACCTCAAACAAACTAACAAGAGCAAACCAGATAATGTGCATTACTCACTGCACTTGCACAATTAAACAATTAATGAATCATGACTAATGACTAACAACAGAACCAACTCCCATGTTTGTTCACAGGGCAGACGTGGCTTTATAATATGAGAAACTGTATTTATCACCTATATACACACATTTACTGTCAAACTCAACACCTAGCACCTAAAATCTAAAGAAAAGGTGTCCAACATAAAGCCTGGGGGCCATAATCGGCCCTGCAAAGACTGCAATTCAGCCCGTTAGAATGCTTTGGAAAACATGAAGGAGTGCAAGGAGTTTTTGAACTGTTAACTGTATTTTCATAGTTGTTACTAGAGATGGACCGATCCGATATTACGTATCGGTCCGATACTGACCTAAATTACTGGATCGGATATCGGCGAGAAATAAAAAATGTAATCCGATCCATTAAATATCAAAAAAGCACCTCACAAACTCGTCTCATAACCGTAGCACGTCGGAGCAGTGTGGTCACGTGATACAGCGGCTGTGTGTATTTGTAGTCTCGCTACCAAACCAGCATTTCATCTCCGAGGAAGTTATCCCAGAGAGAAGTAAAGCAAGTGTGTAAGTTCCTCTCTGAATGTTTGTAAAGCATTCCCGCCTTAAGCTTAACAACCGATATATGGAGCAAGTGCCTCTCTCTCTCTCTCTCTCTCCTGCTGCTACTTCATGAAACTGCTTAATGATCAGCTGATCGGCTTTTCTGTCGCGAGTCCGTGTCTCTTGTTTGTTTTTGGCCCACTTTGCACCAGAAAGAGGAAACCAGCAGCTGAACAACAGCAGCACGTTTAAGCTTGATCAGCTGTTGTTAGAATGTATTTAATATTACTTTCTACTCGAGGATCTTTTTCTACGTAGCTGACGCTGGTAACTGTGCAGGGGCGGATCTAGCAAAGTTTAGCCACGGGGGCCGATAGGGCATTAACAGGGAAAAGGGGGCACAAAGACATACTTTTCTTTCTTATTCTCATTTAAAATGTCTAGCTTTTAATAAATAATTATCTGAATCTGACACCCAAAGTTTTAATCTGATGTTAAATGTATAGAAGTCCATTACTGTATATAGTAACTGTTAAGTCTAATATACCCTAGTAAGCTATAGTACTTTTTCCTTTGTGAAAGTACCATCTGTGAATTCTGCAATTCTGTTGAAGAAAGATGTTGAATCTATTTAATTATTCTTGAAAAAATAATTTATTTCTGTGCATTTTTTTTTCACACTGCATCAAATTAAAGTTGATTGCATCGATTAAGCATCACAAAGTGGAGGGTGGAGGGTGGTTCCCTATTTTTTATTTTTTTTTGCTGGTAGTTTGCAACCCTATTAGTTAGGTTGCTTAATATTTCTGCTAAGTACTCTTTAAAATACCAGAATAGGAAGGATGGAGTAGGTTTAAGTTTATTAGATTGATCAGTGTTGCTGAACTATGAAATATTTTGGGCGCAGTGTACTTTTTACACACAGGTATAACAGAATAGCTTTAGTGCTGTTGTTTATTTAAACTTGAGTATGAACTTATACAAAATGCAGCAAGATATTAAAAAACAGTTTTGTTGATTAAAAAACACTATATCGGATTCATATCGGTATCGGCAGATATCCAAATTCATGATATCGGTATCGGTATCGGACATGAGTTACCAGAACTTCTCCTGTCATCTTACACATTTATCATGTAAAAAATTAGATGTTTTGTTGAATTTGCACTTCTTTTTCTTATATTAAGAGTTAAACTTAAATGACCATCATTTATGTCTGGTTTAAATGAAAAGTTTGTTTTCAAATGTCGAATCTCCAGCTAAGCACACATCTATTTCTTTAAAAAATCATGTGAATAACTTGAATATTCAGTGGTCTTAGGCTCAGAAAAATGATTGGAAAGCCTCTGGACTGCCCAGTCCACATCTTGAAGTTTCCTTGTGAACGGCACTGAACACAACACCTGTAGCCTTTCTGTAAATATGCTGAATCAGTGAGTTAAATGTGGTTGACAATACAATAATACAATACCTGATGTTTGAGCCCTGACTGCAAGATAAGATGGCACTAAAACATAGAGTAGCAGCAGCTCAAGCACAGAAAAGTCAGCTAACTGACACAGAACAGCCTGCTACAATCTCTCTGAAATCCCTCACAGTTTACTATGTTTACATTGTTTGCCATTTATGTTTACACTGCCTGTTCATTGCCTGCAATTTTATACAATTCATGCACTATACAAACCCTCAAAAGCTCCCACAATGGAAGTAAAGAGAGCAGCATTTATGGAACGTATAGTATAGATAGTGAATATTGCAACTGTATTATATTAAAGTTCCAGCGAATTACGATGGTTCACAGTAGCATCTGAATTCTAATTTAAAAGCTTTCTTCAGAACAACTTCTGTGGCTGCAATACA